CCCTCCTCCTCCGCCATATCTCCTCTGCTCCCCCTCCCCCCCGCCAACACACAGCAACCGATATACATTAAAAAACAAAATGGGGGCGGATTTGGGTCATACTCCGAAAGCGCAGCAAAGGCCGACAGTCAAAAAAAAAAAAAAAAAAATCTGTGGATTTTTGCATGCCCGGGGTACCCCAGCCAGGCGCCGTGGGAAAGCTAGCTAAATACGCAGTTATAACCACCACTTCCGTCTTGACATGAGTAGAATGCCCCGTTATTATATCCGTATTAGGGGCAACTTTTCAGTCTAGATGCACCAATAACAAACGGGCATTGTATCCAGGCGAAGATGGTGGAAAAGTCACTCTGCACTGGTGCTTTCACAGCACTGACCCTTTGAAATGGCCTCCTCTTTCACTCACGCCAAATCCGCATAGTTCCAGCTGCAAACGGCACCATTCACGCGCTCCCCCCCCCCCCCAACCAGAGGAATCTTAATCCCAGCACAAGACATATCGAGTCGCATACATGGATCATATACATAATGTGCATTTGTTTACAACTTCAACACAGAGTCGTCACATACATAGCGTACATGGTGTGCAAATGTTTCAAACTTTGTTGATATCAGTTTATGGACAACGGTGTGGGCAAAATAAATGCTGCCAACTTTGTGGATGTGTGTGCGTGCTTCAGAGTTAAAACTTTGCTGAATCGATGTTGATGACGTGCTGCTCCCCACGAATAGATTGGAGCCTTGCTCCCATTAAAAAAAAAAAAAAAAAAAAAAAAAAAAAAAAGATGTTGATGACCGAGTGGGCAAAAGGGTGAGAAGTTGAGAACACAGAAAAGCAGCAGACAAGATTTATTACATAGACTAGTAGCGGTACTAGTGGACATATTGTTTGCATTTCTCTCTACGAACGAGCTGGATGTCGGTTTCTGCGTGTTTTGAAGAATAAGATGGTTTTTACTTCTGCATTTCACCGGACGCAAAACCGAGCAGCTACAAAAAAAAAAAAAAAAAAAAAGGCAGCAGCTACTATTCACCTCCCAACCCTTGTCGCGCACGCCCCTCCCTCCCCCTCCCCTCCCCCCCCCGCCCCCCCTGCAAAAGATAAAATAAAATCACACTCCACACACCAAACAAAACAAACAAACAAAAAAAAAAAACAGTTCAAAAGACTGAAATAAACTCCTCCACACGCACACAAATTCATGTATCGCTTTCTTTTTTTTTTTTCTTTTCCCCAAAGTGGGGCGACTGACCCATTTGCTTTTTTTTTTCTGTGTATGAAATGAAACAGCAGGATTTGATAAACACCAGTCGGATTCAATCCTATCACAGCAAGGAAACAGCTTTTTTTTTTCATTTATTCATTTTCATTTTTTAATATAAAAGCCGTCAAAAACGCAACCAAAGTCATAAACTGGACACGACTTAGTTTTTTGAACATTTTTTCAGTACCGCTCAAGTGAATGGGACCCATTTCTTGTGAATGGGTGTTTCTGCATGTGACCCATTTTTCGTGAATGAGAAATGCATGTGGTCCCCTTTTTTTTGCAGATGGGAAAGACATAAGCTGAATGGCACCCCTGTGCTTGTGCATTTGACCCCTTTTTTGTGAATAGAAAAGACATCGGCAGAAAAGTACCCCTGTGCTTGTGGATGTGACCCCTTTATTTTGTGAATGGGAAAGACACCAGCTGAACGGGACACCTGTGCTTGTGCATGTGACCCCTTTTTTTGTGAATGAGAAAGACTTCAGCTGAATGGGACCACCCTCGTGCTCGTCCACATGACCCCTATTTTCATGAATCGTCTTGTGCATGTGACCCCCTTTTCCGTGAATCGAAAGACGTCCGCTGAATGACACACCCCTGTGCTTGTGCATGTGACCCGATTTTTGTTTGTGTGAATGGAAAATACACCAGCTGAGTGGTACCCCTGCACTTTTGCATGTGACCCTCTTTTTCTGTGAATGGGAGAGATGACACCTGAATGGTTTGGACAAGGGCGCCCACACCTGGATCATACACCCGGTCATTATAGCCTTATTTAGGGCAACTTTCAGTCCCGATGCGGCCATAATGACCAGGTGTTCTATTCGGGTGAAGACGGTAGCAGTGCAATTAGAAAAAGGACGAAAAAGAGTCCATAAATCAGAATTTACAATCTAGCCAAGCAAAGGGTACCAACAAGTACAGTTCACAATCCCCCTCAGAGCAGAAGATTTCTGCTTTTATGGGGAGGGGCACACACACACACACACACACACACACAGAGAGAGAG